TGATTCAGGTGTGATATTAGATGATCATCACTCTTAGGGGTGTAAGGATTAATTATCATTGAGAGGATATCAATACTGACACCCAGGGCAGAGCTTGGTGACATTTCTGCGTGCTTCAACATCACATGAAAATACTTCACAATATCAATGCACTATTAGGCTGACAATTGGTGATAATAAAGAAAAACATCAAATAGGAGATTATTGTTTAGTGGAAAAACAAGTCCCTAGGAAAAAAACTGCAAGAAATATATTGGGAAAAATGTGAAATTTGGGAAAATTACTATTGAAATCTTGGAACTGGAAGGGGAAATTAAGGAAAACTTCTGCAGATTTTGTACCAAAAATAATGTGGTTACCTTCAAAGAAGATTTTCTTGGAAAGGAAAAAGCAGGATATTGGTAACAAAATCATGGCTAAGGTAAACTTCAAAAGAGTTATAAGAACTGACTTCTCACGAGGCCTGTAAATCAATCAATCAATCAGTCAGTCAGTAAGCCACTCAATCAATTGATTGGTCTATTTGTAAGTTAGTCTGTTGGCCAATTCTTGCTTGGTCCATTGATGTCCGATCATCAATCAATTAGTCAGTCACCCAATCAGCAAGTCAGTAAGTCAATCAATCACTGAATCAGTCAATCATTCAATTAATCAATCAGTCATTCATTCATAGCACCATACAATCAGTCAGACACCTAGGAAATCAAAGAATCAATCAATCAATCAACTGATCAGAAAATAAGTCAGTCAAACAATAACGAATTACGTCAATCAGTCTGACAGCTATTATTGGTGAGTCACAAAACTCTTTAAAAGCCCCGTTCCACCATCCAAAATGACTCACGAATCTCATTTCTAAGGCAAAGGAAAAATCACTTGTAGAGGTACAGTCAATTCATACGTATTTATCTGATACAACAACAAAGCTCTCTTGCACTTTGACAATTAGAAGACTGATGAAACTCACCCTAAGGGTTGCCCTTGACTATCAGATATATTCATTGTTTTTAAGAATCTCGTATCAATTTATCGATAAGTTACTAAATCTGTACAGCGGTCACGAAATACCAAACTCCTTAAAAGAACCCTCGATCTATATGAGCCACCGCTTCCTGTCCGCCATCTTCGTTTTCAGCTGATAACAGATGAGGTGCACTGGGACTAGTTAAGCTCATGCCCTCACGGTTCCGGCAGGATTACGTCAGACAACAACATGGCGGCAACAATTCGTCTTCTCCGAGGAAAATTGTCGCGTTCATCTGTGTTAGATTTCCTTAAAAGCCATACCTTCACGACAGTGATCTTAAGGCTAAGCTCAGGAAATTTATCGAGATGGTGGAGGCTCTTTCTTCCTTCCAAAAAGAGCTTACAATGGAGAGTTGTAGCGGGATCAACCGCTGGTATGCTCTGTGGAGGAATTACTCTTTGTATGAGCTCAGGTACGATTGAGATCAACGCGATTTTGTTCTGCCTGATTCAAACTAAATCCCATAAGTATGGGAACCTTTATCCTAATATTTTTACGTGATGGAGTATGTTATTATTGTAAGCCGTACCAAGACGAAATATTATTAGTGATTGATGTTATGGATATTATCAAGATGTTATAATTCCTGCAAAAAATCTAATATATTTCATTTTCGGTTGATTGCCACTGTTTACTGATTTAGTATTCGATGTTGATATCTTTTTTTATTTATCGATTGCTCAATTGAGTTCAGATGCTTGTTGATAATTTGATAGTTCTTTGTGCACGAATTAAATGTGTTGTGTCTTAAGCATGTGACACCTAGTTAGCAATTATTCGTCTAAAAGTCAATTATAGCATAGAATTTTTCTTAAAAAAATGAATTTGCTTCTCCAGGTGTTTCTGAGAGAATGTGCAGATTAGCCAAACATAATGACACCAGTGAACTCCAAAGGTAGGTGGCCTTAATGGAATTTCTTGTGCTTGGTTGTTTGTTTATGATGTTTTATAAAATAAAAGAGATACTACGAGCGGCCTGATTGGTCAAAAATCCACAAAAAATTGAAGTTTATTTTAGAAATGCAATAGATTGCACTTTCTATTGGTTTACTGGTGTAATAACCCACCTGGAATGTTGAGAGAACACTTGAAAAGTGCATGGGTTATTACACTGGTAAATTGATAGAAAGCACAGTCTATTGCATGAGCTGTGTTTTCAATGATTTCTTGTTTAAATTTCTGTAGCTATTTTGATTCTAGTTTCTTTTGTCTTAATTCATTACCTAAAACAAAGGTATATAATATTATGTATCAAACTTGTTTGAAAAATTTTGAACCACAGAAAAAAACTGAACTGCAACATATACATGACATAATCCAGGGTGAATCAAAAGTCACAGACAATTTATTTGTTGTTTTTTCCTTGACTTGTTTCCATCCACTTCCTTTCATCAGACTGATCAATCAAGGTCAGAATGTAAATCAAAAGCATTTGCTGGGATGGACTCCACTTCATACTGCAGCTTTTAATGGTAGTGAGAGGTAACTGTTTGTTGCATGAATTCTTTTATTTTTTGATTTGTCTCCCACTTTCCCAACCTTACCCTCTTCTATTCTCTTTTATCTTCTGTTATTCCTTTTCTCAATGGTAAATTCTTTTGACTTGTGTACCATAGTTACCATACTCTGTGCAATTAAAATACTTCATTTAAAGAACTCTCTTGGTGACATGCTGCAAACTTGGAATCTACATAATTTTAGTTTATACAGTTTTGTGTATGTCTTTTGTGTTTATTAGTTTATCTACTAGCTAATTTTCTTTTCATTTTTGTATATCCCTCTTGTACTTGTATATTTAGGAATCAGGTTTTTAAAATCTTGAGTTGTCAAAGGTTAAATGCTGTCTCTTCTTCACAACAAATTCTGCTTTACTTACCTGCATTTAAAGGTCTTTGGCACTTCTACTAAAGGCAGGAGCTGATGTCAATGCAAGAGATGAATTCAGCACAGCTTTCCGAACTGCTCAAAAGAAGCACATGAGGTCTTTTGATGGTAAGAGGACACAAGTTACTCCTAAGAATTTTTTAAGGGTTTCCTTGAGATTTTGTGAGTACCTATCTGTAAATGCTACTGAGTGGAGAGAAGTATTTATGGTAAGTTTGTTACTGAAGACTGCAACACAGTGAGCCTGCCATGGCTTGTACCCAAAACTCTTAATCTGAAGCTCAGTGTGCTAGCTACTGGACCTTTCCTTTCTTTCACAATGTGCCCATAATTTATTTTTTTAAGTATTAATGTTTAAGTGATATTGATGCGAGATGATGACTTCAGTGACAGACTCCATCGCAGTGCTAACTTCAGTGGCTTCACTCCACTCCATTATGCAGCTCTTGGTGATAGCCTCGAATGTGTTCAACTCCTTGTTAATGCTGGTAACTTTTTTGAGTTGTTTTTAATAAAGATTACTTTTATTAATGCACAGGACCAATCTATTTTATCCTTTGGCCCCTAATGTTGTATAGTGTGATATTTCTCCTTACAATATCACCCCTGAATCACATAGTAAGGTTACGAGAATAAAGGAAGAAGTCTTTGATTGTTGAACAAATTCTCCTTGTCAACACCCTTGGAATTGTATAGAGAACAGTATGGAGAATACGCATACTGATGTTAGGGTATAAAGGTTTAAGTTTTTCACTCTAAGGATGTTGTATTACTTGAACACATTCTCCCTGCTGCTGTCTAAGTTGTGTATAGTTAGTGCTGTGTTTTATCAAAAGAGGTCTTTTCACTTTTTATGATAACATTTTGCTTTTCTTCTTGCTTGTTTGCCAATAGGAGCCGATCCAACTCTTAAGGATAACTCAGGCTACCAAGCAGTAGAATATGCTGGGAATGTAAAGATTAAAGAATTCTTGATGAAAAAAATGGATGTGGTAATAGATGTTAATGTCTATTTGAAGCTATCCTTCAAATTTTTGTGAGCTGTGCTTGCATTGTGTAGGGCAAATACCAAAATATTTTTTAAAATTGTATTGTCAATATTAAAGATGGCAAAATTTCAATTAAAAAAAAAACAGTTAGTGCAGCTGTGTTTTGTGATTGAAATGACACAACTTGTTTTTCAGTATGTGAAAGAGAAAGAGAGGAAAGAGATTGAGGAAAGACGGCGCTATCCTTTGGAGATGAGATTGAAAGAGAATATTGTTGGACAAGAAGGAGCCATTCTCACAGTTGCTGCAAGTATGATTT